CCAAAGCACGCAGGGCCCTCGGCGGGGACAGCTGGGTGAGCTTATCATGCCTGAGGCCTTGGGAAGGCGCCTGGTAGCAAGAGGAGAGAAAAGCTGCGCTTCCCTGGGGTCAGGCCATCACAGTGGCCGAAGAACGTAGCCGAGTGACACCCAGCACAGGCTTTGGGGTCAGAAGCCCACAGTGTGACTCCTGGCTCTGCCTCCGGCCAGCCCTGAGGTCGCGGCCACACCACGCGCAGCCTCCTGGAGCCTCAGCTTCCTCACCACAAAATGGGGACGCTCACCTGCAGGGAGCCCAGCCCAGCTCCCGGTGGCCACTCATTCAGTGAACAGAACTCGAAGCCCCAAATCTCGAAGCTGCTGATGAAGGAGGGCGTGGCATAAAAGCTACCGCTCAGGAGCACCCGCTAGGTGTCAAACCTGGGGCACAGAGGAGGTGCTCCGCAGTGGTGAGATGTAAAAATGGAAATACAAATATACCTTCTTGTAACGGCCTCTCACTCCCTCTGTGTATGTTTACATATGTATAAATAAATGTATTTAGAGAGAGGGTGGGGGCGGGGAGAAAGGAGAGGACGGATGCCTTCGGGGAGGACACCCGGCCGGACTGGCAATGATCTGTATTTGAATTTTGAATCGAGTGACAGTTTGACATCTTTAACGTGACATTTGATCCCTGGCTGGTGTGGCTCAGTAGATTTGAGTGCGGGCTGGGAATCAAAGGGTCACCAGTTCGATTCTCAGTCAGGGCACATGCCTGGGTTGTGGGCCAGGTCCTCAGTTGGGGGCACATGAGAGGCAACCACACATTGATGTTTCTCTCCCTCTCTTTCTCCTTCCCTTCCCTTCTCTCTAAAAATAAATAAATAAAATATTAAATAAAAAACATTTTTAAAGTGACAGGAGTTAGGCTTATTGGTTTATCCCTTGACCCTCAGAATGACCTGTAGGAAAGAGCTGGGCCCCACCCACTGGGTGCACAGGCAGCAGGAACCGCTCACAGTCACACGGTGAGAGCGTGGCAAAGCTGGGCCCTGACCTCAGCTGCATCTCAGGGGATTCTCCCCCCAGGCAGCAGCTGAGGCTGTGGGGCGGGGCCCCAGAGGAGGGGCCCCCGGGGCCATTCCTGGTGGCCTCTGGCTGGGCAGCTCGGGACAAGTATCTTCTCTGGGTCTGGCAGTTCTCACTGGCTCCATCTGAGAACCTGTCCCCGGGCCTCCACTCTGCGGGGGAAGAAATAAAAATAGCCCAGCTGAGGGGACAGTGGCCGGGCTGTGGGCTGCAGGGCGTGCCTTTCCCGTGACTCGGGGTCTGCAGAGCAGCGTCCCACCCTGAGCCTGCCCTGTGGGTCGGGCCCTGGGCCAGGTGCCCAGGAGGCAGAGCTGAGTAGAGCACAGCAGCCCCCGTAGCAGGAAAAAGAGGCCACGCCGCAGACCTGGGAGTTAAGAAGAGGTGGGGAGGGGGTTCCAGGCAGCGGGAACAGCATTTGCAAAGTCTCCCTGTGACACACACTGGCCCTGGGGAAGTGCAAGGTGCTGGTTGCGTCTGGGGGTCGGAGCCTGTTGGCCAGGATGCGGGGCTGGAGGACTAGGGGAGCAGGCCGGCCTTACTGTGGGCGGGGGCGCAGGGCAGGACTGCGGGGCAACGGGGAGCCCAGGGAGGTCGTGGAGCAGGGTGGCGCATCAGATCAGCGTCTGAGAGAGAGTGGGTGTTCCCGAGCTCACTGAGCAGCCCCACCATGGCCTGGACCCCACCGTCTGGTCCCTGTGCACGGCCCCCACCGAGGCGGCTGAGGCCTCTCACCAGGCCTCCAGCTCCGGGTGCCTGCCAGTCTCCCCGAGGACTCTCTCTGGCTGCCAGAATCAAAGCCCCTCCCACCACCTCCCACGTTCACCAGGGCCCTGGGCCCTCCACATGACTCCATGTCCTGTCTCTGCTGTAACAAACGACCCCGAATTCACCACCTTAAAAAGCACACATTTATTCTAACACAGGTCTGGAGGCAGGAGTCTGGCACTTGACCGTCTCCTGGCTAAATCGAGGTGTGAGCAGGGCTGTGGTCCTTCCCAGAGGCTCTGGGGAGGAGGAGGTTCTCCCCTTTCCCCGCACCTGTGCCCCCCCATTCTCAGACCCTCTGCTCCCCCCTCCACCTTCAAAGCCAGCCACAAGGTCAAGTCCTTCTCATGCCATGCCCCTCTGACCCCTCTTCTGCCTGCCTTCCCACTGTTCCATGATTGGCCAGACAGTGGAGGATCTCCCCACGGCACGGCCCCGTTCCCACGTTCTGGAACAGATTCCCAGGCTCAGGGACGAGGACATTCTTAGGGGCTTTTAGTCTGCTGACCTCACCTTTGTAACAAACCATGGGCACTGAATCCCTGCCCCAAGGTCTGCTTCAGGGGCCCCTCACTCCCCTCTGGGTGCCCCCAGCACCCGTCAGCACTGCCCCTGCTCCTTCTAGGGGGTCTTGACGGTTCTGCCTGTTACCGGTGTTGAGTTGGCAGAACGTCCACTGGGAGTCACCTCCTCAGTGTCCCGCCCCCTGGCCACAGCCTCTCACCTCTGTCCCTCAGAGCCTTGGTGGGCTCTGCTGGACAGAGGGCCGGAGGGGCTGGCCCGGATCACCGGGCGGCTTAGAAGTGCCTGCCGCTTTCTCGGGACTTAAGAGCCGCTGCCGACAGTGACCTGGTAGTTGCAGCCCTTTGTCTTCTTTTCAGAGAAGAAAAACAATAAGTAAATGCTTTGCTCCCACCCTGCGCTGCCAACCCTCTTAGGGGCAAAAGAAGTTTGTTTGTTTGTTCGTTTCCTAGATGCAGAGAACCGGCTGACTTCTCCCCGCCCGCCGCAATGACACTTGTCCCGGCCAAGCTGATGCTGCCTGCACGGGGGCCGGCATTCGGGGTGGCCTGGGAGGGAGCTCCCCTGGGCACCTGCCAGCACCTTTGCCTCAAAATCGAGACTAGTGGCAGGCCTGGTGCCAGCCGCCGGCGGTTAGGCGAGACGGTCTCCAGGCAGAAATTCCGACAGTCCCCAAGGGCTCGGAGTCCGGCCGCAAACCAGAGGGGCCTGCTGTCACCCTGAGCAGCGAGGCGGGGGCGGCAGGGCCAGTCCCGCTCTGCGGCACCTACCTGGCGGTATTGCCTCTGTTTGATCCGGGAGATGAGTTAGGTGGTGGGCTTTGGCGTTTTGAGTATTAATGATATATCCTTAGCTTAAAAAAAAAAGATGTATAAAATAGGAGATTTTGCATGATTTTGAATGGGTTTTGTTGTTGCTTTGTTCTGTTTCACGCAGGATGGGTTGAATGAATTTACTTTTTGGTAAAACTGGGCATGTTTTGGCCAACTAGACGGACCGCAGAGCTTTGGAACATCTTTCTCCGTCTTCCTTCCCAGGGAAACTGGAGGTGACCCGTTCGGGGCCCACTGCCCACCGCTGGGAATGCTAGAGCAAGGCATGGGGGGGAGTAGTGAAGAGAACTGTCCCCTGCAAATCCCCAAACACACTCCCCTCGGGACTGGGGGCAGGAGAAGGCCCGTCCCGAGAGGGCGTGGGGCTGAGGGAGCTGGGCTTGGAGCGAGTCTCGAATTCCCAGGGCAGCCCTGCACCTTCCCGGCTGTTTGACCTTGGGCAAGGTCACTGCTTGTCTCTGCTGCCATGAAATGGGATGGCACTGGCACCCGTCTCACAGTGCTGAGGCGGCTGGATGTATAAAAACATGTAAGGTCCTCTCTGGCTGGTGTGGCTCAGTGGATTGAGCGCAGGCCTGAGGACCAAAGGGTTGCCAGTTCGATTCCCAGGCAGGGTACATGCCTGGGTTGTAGGCCAGGTTGCTCGAGAGGCAACCACACATTGATGTTTCTCTCTCTCTCTCTTTCTCCCTCCCTTCCCGTGGCTCTAAAATAAATAAATATAATCTTTAAAAACGTAAAGTCCACAAAGTGCGCCCAGCATGCAGACAGCCCAGAGCAAACGCCAGCATCTCGGCTGCCCACCAGGCCCCCGCGGCTGCTGAGCCCATGGGAGACTAACTGGTTCGTGTCAACTGTGAGGGCGGGGACACCATTACCAACGAGGAACGAGGCTTAGAAAGAACTGGTCCGTGGCCACAGCACACACGCTGCCATCGACGGCTGAGCGGGCAAACGAAGGGTGGTCCAGCTGCAGGACAGAGTGTCACTCGACCCTGAGAAGGAATGACATTCTGACACCGGCCACCGCACGGCCGAGCCTTGAGGACATTATGCTGAGTGACATAAGCCAGTCACAAAAGGACCAGTTCTGTGCGAGGTCCCTAGAGTAGGCAGATTCACAGAGATAGAAAGGAGGACGGTGGCTGCCAAGGGCTGGGCAGGACGGTCACTGTTCATGGGGCCCGTTTCACTTTGGGAAGATGAAGAGCTGTGGCCATGGGGGTGGGGTGGTCACACAATGTTATGAATGTATTTAATGCCACTGAACAGCGCACTTAGAAAGGGCTACGGTGGCACATTGTATGTCACGTACATTTTACTGCAGCTAAAACCTTCTGACGGGGGGGCCGACATCCTACTGGGGGCACAGGCCATAGACCAGTGAATAAACAGGAAGAGACCCTGTGAAGAAAGATGGGTCATGGGGGGCTTTCGGGGGCAGGGCCAACAGAGGGTCCGGCGAAGGGGAAAGGAGTGCACTAGTTGGGGACTGGGAAAGGTGTCCTGGAGGAGGCGGCATTGGGGGCAGGCCTTGAGCCGTTGCTGAGCTCCAGCTCAGCGGGTGCCGGGCTGGAGGGGCTGGAGATAAGGAGTCACGGCCTCCTCCGTCTCGTGGGAAGACGTTTGGATCCCAGCAGAGCCGTGGGGCGGGGAGGGCTCCCCTGGCCACCTCGAAGGAGGTTTTCCTGGGCAAAGGGACGGTGAGCTGGACTTTGGAGGGTGCGAGAGTCCATCAGAGCTGGGCAGCGCGCCAGGTTGGGAACTGCCCCGTGGAGGCCCCAGGGCCTGCTGCGGAGGCAGGAAGGCTTCCGGGCCAGGCGGTGGCCGCGTGACCCTGGTGAGGTGACTCACGTTTCTGAACCTCCGGATCCCCGTTCACAGGGTGAGTGGTGAGGGTAATAACGCCGCCCTGTGAGAGGTGCTATTTCGGTGAGGACCCTGGGGTGTGAGTGAGATGTTGTGGGGACACAGGCGATGCCCGGAGGCAGGGGCCTCCTTTCCTGCTCCTCCCGGTGGGTGTTCAAGTGGGCGGGGAACGAGGGTGGATTGACTCCATTCGGGTCCTGGAGAAACCCCTCCCCTGCATTGGCTGCCCCCCCCCTCCCCGCTCAGGAGAGAATCCCCTCTGAGACCCCAGGTCCTCATGGGCAGCCTGCCCACCCCAAAGCCCCAGCCATTTCTACCCCACCCCCTGGAAGCACCCCATCCCGGCCGCCACGCTTCGGGGGGCCTTCTTTCTGCTTCTCTTGGTGGCCGCCAAGAAAGGCGGCCAAGGGTGAGTGGAATTCCTGCTTGACATTGGGAGTGGCCCAGACCCTTTCCGTTTACCCCCGTGGGGTGCCGCTGGGGTCAGTGGAGAGGACGCCTCTGGTCAGGTGAGGTGGGGCTGATGGATGTTCCTGTCACCGAGGTCCCCAGCCTGGACTGAACAGGCCTTGGGAAACGGCCCCCCAGCCCAGCTGTTCCGTGTGAGAAACGGAGGCTCTGAGGCGCCAAACCCCCGCCTTGGACTGACGCCTCGCTCTGTGGCAGGCTCCGCACCATCAACTTTCCCCAAGGCGTCTTCTCACGTAAAGTCACTTCTTCCTGGAAGATGCCGGCTTCCTACAGGGGCACTTAAGCACTGTCATCAGTTTATGACATACTTGTGGCACGTGGACATAAACACGGTATCCACTTTAATCCACGTCTAGTAAACGCCACACAACCGGAGCTGTTAGGACAACCCTGCCCCGTGGGTCCTTCTGGTCTCTATTCACTTAGGGAGGATGTATTTTGAGCACCTGCTGCGTGGGGGACCCTGGCCTGGGGCTGCGGGTGCAGCAGAGAGCACAGCAGACAGAGGCCTGCCTGCCCCCTGGAAGTCATGGTGGTCGCAGGGAGAAGGGTGTTTGTCTGCCCTCGGACAAATAAACACACAGGAGGCCCGTGAAGACAAGCTATGGGGAGGAAACCAGGTAACCCCGGGGGGAGGCCTGCAGGGGTGTGCTGTGTCCTGGCTGTGGGAGATTTTCAGGAACATGATATAATAGGTTGAATGATGGCCCTCTAAAGCTATGTCCACCCAGAATCTGCGACCAGGGCCTTACTTGAAAGAGACGGTCTCTGGCAGACGTCATTAAGAGAAGGACCTCCAGATGAGATCACCCTGGGTTGTATGGGTGGGCTCCAAATCCAAGGGCAAGAGGCAGAGGAGACACAGGGGCACAGAGAGGCCCAGTGACTGCCAAGTCAGAGGTGGGTGTCATGCGGCCGCCAGCCGAGGACCGTCTGGCCCCATCCGGAGCTGGAGAGACATGGGGCTCTCCCTCAGTGCCTTTGCAGGGAGCATGGCCCCGAGGACGCCGTGTTGCTGGTCTCGAAGAATGAACTTCAGCTGCTGTAAGCCACCCAGTTTGTGGCGATGTGTTACCACAGCCGCAGGAAACTGATCCACGTAACTTCTGACCCAAGCTTGCACACAGTGAGGAAGTCACCATGCCAGCGGGTGGGAGCAGAGCTTTACGGGTGGAGGGGACGGTGAAGGCCAAGGCCCCGAGGCCACCTGAGCAGATTTGGGGAACAGCAAGAAGTGGGCATGGCTGCTGCCATGGTGCTAGGGTGTGAGAGCATCTCAGAAGCCCAGTGGGAAGGCCTCATGAGTAAAGGACTTTCACCTTCACGCCTGCCATGGAGAACCACTGGGGGGTTCGAGGTCGGAGGGTGACTCAACCTGATGTGGTCAGTAATCAGACCAGTCTGGCAGCTATGACGAGACCAAGGGGGTGGAGGGTACAAGCCCACTTTACGTGCCCCCCAAAGAAGTCAAATCTGATTCCAAAAGTTTGTCAAACTTACATGTTTTACTGAAGTTCTGGTGGGAAAAGAAAAGGGGAAGTTACAAGACACAGCACCCAGCAAATGTCACGCTCCTTCCTGTCTGAACATCTCAGCTCCTTTCTGAGCTCATTTCCCACAGAAGCTGCTGGTCCTCTCTCCCCGGGCAAAGGCCCTCACTGCCGAGCAGAGCTCCCTGTGAGCCCCGGGAAATACTACTTCCTTATGGCTCAGTTTCTGTGCCAGACGATGAGCAAGCATTTTACGGACATAGGTGGTCCTCTCCCTCCAAACTCACAACCACCGAGCAGGGGCGATAAGAAACCTGTGGCTCCGAGAGGGCCCAGGAGTTTGCCCAAGGCTATGCAATCGATCAGCAATCGATCAGGGGAGCCCTCTGTGAACCTTAGCACCAGTGCAAACTGCACTCCCGTCGGACTGAGGTGGGGAAGCCTCACCTGCATGTGCAGAAACTGGCAAAGGCATCGACAGCCATCTTTCCCTGGGTTTCCACAGGGGCCTGGCACAGCCGGGAAACTCAACAACAGCCTGCGTGGCTTCAGGCCCCTGCAGGCCCCTGGGATGTATCCCAAAGCGATTGGCAGTCAGGCCTCCCCACACTGCAACCCTTACCACACCCTCCCGGCCTCCGCCCCAGGATGTGGCCTCACAAATGCACTCTTCGGCCACCTTTAAACCCACAGTCCCAGACCCGAAGGGCTGCAGAGCTCCTTGGGGAGTGTACTGCGCAGACTCCAGAGGCACCTCCTATGGGCTCTCGGCTAAGTGGTCAGTCTGTGTGCAGATCCTCCACACACAAGTTGCTCGCCACGCTTAAGAGGGTTCGTCCCATATTGGAATACCTGTGGCTGTTTAAAGAGTACTAAAAGGAGAAAGGATGACCTGGGTCCTGGTGCTAAGCCCAGTGACCTTGAACAAGTCACTTTACCTCTCTGAGCCTCGCCTGTAAAATGAGGGCTCGTGAGGTGGTGGGTGAGGTTGAAACACATAGGTCAAAGTTCTTAGCACATTCCCTGCACATAGTAGGTGCTTAGTAAAAGCACCCACTGCTAACAGTGTAAGTATGTATCACATCCTCGGAGCGCAGTCCCAGGTGCAGCTGGAATTCTAAATGCTCATTCTCTATGCAGGGCAGGTGCCATTAACCCTCTCTTACAGGTGAGGAACCTGAGGCTCATTCAGTGGCCATCCAGAGTCCCACGGCTTTGGCCAGAGCCTGGCTCTTGACATTATGGAAAGTTGCAACTTCACATGAGTCTGAGCTATAGTTAGAAGTCAAGGGCAGGGGGCCACCCAAGAGATCTTCCTCTTTCTGTCTCCTTCGCAGCTTCTGAAAGTGCACACAGCCTGGCTGGCTTTGCAGGGGAAGAGGCAGGGGTCACACAGTAAGCGAGACCCAGAACCTAGGCTCCTTCTCCCAGGGCCCTGCTCCCCAGACAGTCTGCGGCTGACTCCTGAACTTCCTCGTGGGCATTTCTGAATGAGGTCTGACCTGGCACCCAAGAACTTGGATGGCAAACGGCTCTAGAGCCAAGAACTCATCACATGTGCTCAATCCAAACTGGCTAAGTGGTTAAACAAATTATCCCACAGCATACTGCCATGGATTAGCATTCCCTTTTGTCTTATGAATAAATTTAAACTCCTTTCCTCAGTGTTTACTCCTAGACTATGGCCTACGAGGCCTGGCTTGGTCTGCACTCTGCTCACACACACATGTGTGTGTGCACGTGCACACACAGACTGGGTCTCCAATGGCAGCTGGAATTCTCTAGCCATGCCAAAGTGCTTTTGGTTTCTCAGTGCACTATGACCTTTCCTGCCTCAGGACCTTTGTCCATGCTACTCCTCTACCTGAACACTCCTCCCACCTTATGCCCCCTTCCTCATCATGAAGAGCTGAGTCCTCATTCTTCAACCTGAATATCGCTTCCTTGGAGAAACTGTTTGCTGATACCATAGCTGAGCAGATTCCTCCTGTGTTTTTTTGTTGTTATTTTTGTTTTGTTCTTGTGGCATTTACCACTGTTAGTAATGACATGTTTGAAAGTTCTTATAGTCAGTCTCCATCCTTACTCCGACTGCAGGTTCCAGGGAAGGCTGCCTGTCTCGCTCTCCAGTGTGTAGCCAGGGTCCAGGTGGGGCCTGTCGCCCGAGCTTGGGAAAGTTTCGCAGGGTGCAGGGAAGCGTGGAGGGCGGAAGAGGAGATCTGGGGTTGACAGCAGCCTGGGTGTGACTCCTGGCCGAGCACGTACCAGCTGAACGGCGAACTTGTGAAAATCACTTCAGTTCTCCGAGCCTTGCTTTCTCCATTCCTGAGTCAAAGACAATAACAGTCCCTCCCTCCTTTGGAGGGTTAAGCGAGAGAGTGTGCGCCATGCAAAGCCAAGAACACGGTGGGTGTTATGGGTTGAAACACGTCCCTCCAGAAAAGACGTTGGAGTCTTAGCCCCCAGACCCTCAGTGACCTTATTTGGGAACCAAGGTCTTTGCAGGTGCAATTAGTTAGGACAAGGTCACCCTGGAGTAGGGTGGGCCCTGGTCCATTATGATGAGTGTCCTTATAAGAAAAAGAGAGGAATGGGAAAGACGGCCATGGGACAAGGAAGCAGAGATCGGACTGGCACAGCTACAAGCTGCAGGATACCAGGAGCGAGAAGAGGCCAGGGAGAGCTCTGGCCTGTGGCCTTCACAGGGAGCACGCCCTGCGGACACCTTGGTGTCACACTATCGCGGCTGAGACAAGTTTCTGGTGTGTAGGCCGGGCCTGGGGTACGTTCTACGGCAGCCCTGGGGGGGTCCGTGAGGCAGCGTGTCCTCCTTTTAGCGTCCCATCACAGTTCACGTCCATGCGGTCCCCACTGGCTCTGCATCCTGTTCACCTGGGTCCCCGACAGGCAGTACAGCTCTGGCCCATGAGCGCCCGTGAGGTGCAACCCGCACACACACACAGAGCCCTTCGAAGAGCCCTGTGCACTGAGTGGTGGGAGGAAAAGGGCCAATGTCCGTCGCCCTTGCCGGGCTGGGGTCTGCCCCACGCTGTGCTCCAGGGAGAACCTGTCTGGCCCCAAATGTGGAGGTGAAAGGAGGGGATCCGGATCCAGCCTGGGTTCTCAGGGGTGCGCCCTTCTTCTCCGAATGGGGTTCTCTCCTTCAGGTCCCCTCCTCCTGGCCCAGTGCTGGGGGAACCCACTTGGATGGAGAAGAGGGGATGACTACCTTCCAGCTCACCTGCTCCAGGCCCTCAAATATCACCTGGATGGAACAGCCCCTCCTATAGAAGACCTGGCTGGCTGCTGGTAGGCTGTGTTCACAGGTTAATACCTTGGTTAGAAATCACTTCCAAGCCTTTTGCATGACAATCACCCGGGCACAGGGCACTCCCGGGTATGCCAGGAAAAAGCAGCACAGACGAAGCCTCACAGTTGCGTGTCATTAGTAACGACAAGCCATCGGGGCTGAGGCCGGAGAGTCTGATCGGTGTCCAGCCTTCAGACTCCTGTTGAGGGATGTCACTTGTCTCCTGCCCAGTGTCATCGGGTGGGAGAATTCTGTAAATGTCGAAGGGGCTTCATGCCCTGGGCAGCCAAATCAGGAGGCAGAGCTTGGTTATATCTGTCAGGTTGGCCAAAAAGTCCGTTAAGAGTTTTTTTTTTTCTGTAAGAGGGCTCCAGTAGTCCTTAGCTGTCTTTAATTTCACTCAAAATCATTTTGTTAGATGGTATTGTGACAGCTGTCACATCAGCATGCATTTACAACACTCATCCAAATCGGTGAACTTTTTGTGTAGCCCTTTTAATATTGAAGATGGGAGAAGATACACATTTTCAACCTATTATTCTTTATTATTTCAAGAAAGGTAAAAAACACAACTGAAACACACACAAATTTGTGCAGTGTACGGAGAAGGTGCTGTGACTGATTGAACATGTCAAAAGTGGTTTGCGAAGTTTCTTGCTACTATTGACATTTTGGCCAAATAACCCTTTGCCGTGAGGTTGTCATGCAACGGAAGGTGCGAAGCAGCCCCCTGGCCTCTGCCCACTAGAAGCCAACAGAGGGAGATCGCTGACATACTCAAAACATCCAAACTGATCCTGGTGAAAATGAAAAGTGTATCTTTTATTTTACGGAAAATGCGTGATGGACTTTTTGGCCCACCAAATATTTCAGAGCCACTGAGGTCAGGTCAGAGGGAGGAAGGAGCTTGCTCAAGGTCGCACAGCAGCCGGCTGTCTGACCTCAGAGGCTGCTGCAAGGTCATTGCTGAGGCTGGTTGGCAGGGCAGAGCATGAGGACTGCAACTCAGCAGATGGGAGAGGGCGACGGCAGGAAACCACGATGGGCCATGGGCACGGCTGTGCGAGCTGGCTGCTGGGGGGGCGGTGCCCCCAGCCAGGAAGACCGGTGCAGGCGGCAGGTCTCGGCCCTGGGAGAAAGTCTGGGGTGTGGGGGAAGATGTGGCTGTTCTGACACGTTCATGTCACTGCCGGCTGCAGTGTGGATGGAACTGCCCAGGAGCAGGGGGAAGGACGGAGGAAGAGGGTCCACAGGTGGGCAGGGTGAGGAGGGTGGGCATTCACTGAGTGTGTACTGTGTTCCGGGCGCTGCTCTGAGCTTCTGTGTGAATTCCCTCATCCCCTCGAACCAACCACCTCAGGTAGATCCTGCTACAATGCTGCCATTTACAGGTAAGGGAACTAAGAGGCCAAATAGCTTACCTAGGTCAGCAGTTTAATAAGGGTGGAGCAGGCTTCAGCCTCGTGGTCCAGCCTGTGTGCTTCAGCATCACAGTACCCCACCTCCGGCCTGGACAGTCTCTGTGGACAGGGGTGGAGGGTCAGCAGGGGGAAAGCCCTCAGCCCTTGGAACAAGTTTGACATAACAAGATGAGACTTGACATTTACATGGCCTCTTAGAGTCTGGGGAGGACACCACACCTCTGACTTTGTTTGGCCCTGAATACAATGGACAGACCCTGCCAGTGCCAGCACCATCCTCTCTCCATCACCTCGTGTACTGGGGAGCCTTGTGAAGCTCCCCGAGCTCCTCCAGGCTTTATCCTGAGTCTGCACCAGAGCTGGAATGGCATTTTCCACTCCTTAGTGGAATGCAGGGCAGCCGAGGGGGGCTGTCAGGGGGCCTGCAGGGCTGGGGAGATGAGCTGGCCACCTGGATTGACAACGTCCAAGCTGAGATGCCCAGTTAAAAGTCTAAATGAGGGCGTTGGCCCTGGGAAGGTAATGGGAACGTGCCTGGTGAGGGTTCTTATCTGGACAGGGATTTAAAGCTGGCTCCGGATGGACTTGAGTGAAACAGTGCTGTGCAGTGTCAAGAGCAGGCTGCGGTCAAATCCTGCTGCTTGCCACCTGCAGGGAGCAGCATGGCCTCGGGCAAGTCCCTGCCCACCCTGCACCCCGACCTCACCAGAGCCTCCTCCCTCACTGCCAGTGGGGAGAATCTCCCCACCACCCGGGGCATGGTTGAGGCAGTGGGAGAAAAGCTGCTGGAGGTCAGTAAATGAGCTGGTATTTTTACTGTTGGACAAAAGTCGGGGTTTGTACATATTCTTTTATTTGTTAAATTTGACTTTATTTTGTAGAGCAGCTTCAGGTTCACAGTGAAATTGAGCAGAAAGTACAGAGAGTTCCCATATACCTCCTGCCCCCACACACATGGCCTCTCTCTTTTATCCAAGTGCAGCTTCGTTGAAATTTTGTTTCCAAAGTTCACAGAAAAAAAGGGGGGGCAAGAGGAGACTTTAAAATCTTCCTGTCTAAATTCCATGCTGTGTGGACGGGGAGACTGAGGCCCAGCAAGGGAGATTAGGTACCAGAGATCACGGAGCCCAGAGGCCTGGTGCCCACTGTCTGCCAATCAGCATGTGCATCATGAAGCATCTCAGATGCAGCCTTGGCCGCTGTTCACCACACATGCACGTGGGTGCAAAACACTGCCCCAGCTGGCATCCAGATCATCCAAGTCAGAGGGCACCGGAAGTTGTCATATTCCCCTTCTCCCTGCCTTGCCCTCCTGCGGGGGTTAAAGAGATGTGGCCTGTTGTTCTGAGGGTGGAGAAATAAGTGTTCATGGACATGCCCAGAGACCAAGTTTGTTTTATTTAGAAAATCCTGACGTGGGACTCTTCTGCTTCTACACCAACTGTGCTTTAATGCCAGTGTCCTCTGGCCTCATTTGTATTCCCCGGGGACCTTAACCAACAACCAAGATAATTCCAAATACTGAACAGAGCTGTGAATAAAAAACAAAACAGGGTGGTGGCCTTATGACTGGGAAGGTTGCTACTCTAAATTGGGGATCAGGGAAGGTATCTCTGGGCAGGTGATATTGTAGCTGAGCCTTGAACAGGAGCCAGCTCTGCAAATATCTGGGGACAGAGGGTTCCTTGAACAGGACTTGGTGAGTGCAAAGGCCCTGAGGCTGGGCGAGCCAAGTTTCCAGGACTGTTAGCAAAGCAAACAATTGTTAAGGAAACAAAGTAACCAAGACAATTTCGTTCTCTACTCTGTGTGTGGTTATATAGCCCTTCTGACACTATCTGAGATATATTGTTGCAATTTTTTTTTTGCTGTTAGTTAATCCTTTCACAAAACAGTGACTATTGATGACAACAATGTTACTAATGTGGCAACATTTAAAGTTGACAACTCTTTTCAAATGACATGCATTTTGTGGGGGGCATTTTAATAGTCTGTGAATTCCAGGTCTGGGGGCACCTGGGAACTAAGCCCTGAAGCTCCATCAGTTGAGCCCCAGTATTGTTCCCTGACACCCTGGGTTTCCTACACCCTTTCATTCTTTCTCCCTTTGCAGAGTTTGATTTCCAGAAGGGCAGAGCTACTCCTACCTGGTATCCAGCCAAGCCCACAACAGGCGCTCAGAAGATCCTGATTGAATGAACACACCCTAATTCCCGATGAGATTTGTTTAACTGGGATAAACACTCAGACAATAAAACTGAGAGCAAGCCTGGAGAGAGCTACATAAAGGAAAAGACCCCGGACCTCACAGCCAGGAGCCTGAGTTCAAATCCTGCCTCCTGCAAAAGGCCGCGTGTGGCTTAGCCTCATTTTCCTCACCTGTGAAATGGAAGATACTAAAGCCTGGACGCGGGATTCTCCTGGAGAACAAAAGTGACGCTGGCAGAAGGAAGCTACTTTGCAGGCAGTCTATAAACGCGATCTGGGGCCACCCTGCGGCACTCAGCACCCAATGCCTGGCATGTCCCTTCTCAGTCCATAGATCTGCTTCTTCCAGGAGCCTGTGAGCTGGTGCGGGAACTCTGCTCACAAGTTCTGAACAGAAGAGCTCGGTGCCTGGCATCCAGTGGGTGCTCAATAAATAAATCAGTGAATAATGAACCCAGGCAGATTGCTCCCCCTCTGAACCTCTTTCCACTTTGTAGGTAGGTAATCTCCCGGCGCTTTCCTCTGTGGTTCCTACCACACCTAGTGATTTCCTTTGTGGAGCCAGCCCTAGGAATCACATTTAGGGAAGGTGGGTGGTGAGAAGTTGATTAAAAGGTTAGTGCATTTTTGGTTTCCACTTCCGAATCTTCCAGAATTTATTTTTGCCTGCTTAATAAAAAGAGCCGCGTTACACTTTTTTTAGCTTGCCTTTTCTTTCTTTCTTTCTTTTTTTTTTTAAATTAAGGTCTTTATTTTAAACCACCCACTCCAGCCATCCCAGGACGCAGCGAGGAGGGGCGCAGACAGGTGGAGCGTGTGCTGGGGAAGGCGGGGCTGCACGGGGCCGCGGGTGGGGCGGTGCAAGTCGCGCCCCATTTCCTGGGCGGGGCTAGAGCGGCGACGGAGTTTAGGGGCTTTTGCAAACAGCAGCCCCACGCGCCCCTTAGTGTGGGACGTCTGCCCTCCGACGCTTTGCACACTGGGTGGGATCCCAGCTCGCCAACCTCCCAGCCGGCTTGGGTACCCACGCCTAGCAGAGCAGCTCGGGCTGGAGCCCGCGCGCTCCGCTCGCACTCACGCTCCAGCGGCCAAAGCCCGCTGGAGGGGCGGGGCCCGGGCGGGGCTGGGGCGGGGCGGCCGGCGCTGATGTAATCCCGACGCCAGGGCGGAAGGATATGGAGCGCGCCCGGTTGGCGGGGCGCTGAGGCCAGTTGCCGGGTAACGGAGCAGAGCGGCCACGGCGCGCCGCCTCCCGCCCTCCGCGAGTGGCGCCGGGGCCGCCGCCGCTTTACGTAAGGCGCAGGCCAGGGCCGCCCGGCGCTCGGCAGCCGCTCGGAGCCCACGGAGGGAGAGAAGGCGCCGCCGCTAGCTGCCGCGCCGCTCGGCAGGTACTGGGGAGACCGGGACGGGCGGGCGGTGGCCCCTCGGCCTGGCGGGTGTGGGCCAGGCAGGCCGCCGCCGCCGCCGAAGGACTCTGGGGCCGGCCTGATGGAGGCCGGGCCGCCCCCTGAGCCGCGGGTTCCTTAAGAACCCCAGCCCGGCCCCGGCGTGCGGTGGGCTGCGAGCACAAGGACCCCCGCTCCGTGTCTGGCTTGTAGCCGCGCTTCGGGCGAGCGGGGGGGAGGACGATGAGTCCGCACAATGGGCCGGTGTCACAGCGCTGGGAGCGGCTCTTTGGGGAAGTGAGGCGGAGGCCGGACGTGGGGCAGAGGCGCGGAGCCCCGAGCTGGCAGCGGCGGGATTCGTGGAGTGGCCGGCCGGCCCGCGGGTGGGCACTCGCTGCACTGCCCCCTCCCCTCTAGCATTGTCCTTTAGGGGCCCGGGAAGGGAAACCGCGGACGGGGGAGGGGCCGGGCAGGGCGGGGCGGGCGCTGACTGACGGGCGTGCTGGCCTGTGGTGCGGCGCGCGGGGGGGCGGGGACTGGCGGGGGGCGGGGCAGGGCGCTCGCCGGGTGGGGCGGGCGCCGCGCAAGGTTTAGCGAAGGTTACGGCTGCCTGAAGGAATGACAAACCCACAAAGTCACTCGCCTCCGCGGCGCGAGAGGTCCTGAGCCCGCTGGGTCCTGAACCTGCTGGCTCCTGAGCACACGCGTCCGCGGCGGCTTCTCGGAGCTCTCCGCTCCTCTGCCGGAGAAACGAGAGCTGTGGCGTGTGAAATGCGTTCGGCTCCAGGATTCGGCGTGCAGACGGAGGTGCACGGATGGCAGGGCTAGCGGGTTCCTGGCAGCAGACCCCCAAATCGTAGCCGAACCAAGTTCTGATTTCCCTGATTTCCCTTTCGCTGCCTCTCAGATTTTGTCCTCTGTAGGCCAGCTCTAGAGATCTTACCTAGTAGAAAGTGTAGGTGATAAGCGGGGAGGGGAGCGTGAGATTCGTTGGAATGATTTAACTAAATGCGGCTTCTGCTAATAATTACCTGGCGAGATACTTGGATATCTAGGTTAAAAACTGTGTCCAAGTTCCTGAGAAGAGGTTTTACGTCTTTGGGCCTTTGCTTGTTTAGAAACAAAACCCCAAAATGATGGTAGAAGGTTGGTGAGGTGGGGAGGCAAGCATTTTTGACAGTAGGTGCTGCGAATAAACTATGCACTGAAACCCGCAAACTGGATTTCTTCCGTGAACCTGTAGGTAAGCTCCTTGCAGTTATTGTTTATATAGGATGTGGCAAAAGTAGGTTTGCTGTTGTGCCTATGCAAAACACAGTGTTTATTCTTGTGTTATGATTTATTACTGTGTCGTTTTCCATACAGGCAACTGTAACCCTGCTTTTGTCTCACCCTGTATTCTTCATTCAATTGCTGTACCTGGTAAATAATGAAAAAATTTAAATTAGTGTTTAAAAAATATTTTATTTATTTATTTTTAGAGAGAGGGTAAAGGAAGGAGAAAGGGAGGGAGAGAAACAGCAATGTTTGGTTGCTTCTGCAGCACCCCCTACTGGGCACTTGTCCGGAAACCCAGGCCTGTGCCCTGACTGGGAATAGAACTGGTGACCCTTTGGTTTGCAGGCCCGTGCTTAATCCACTGAGCTACACCAGCCAGGGCTAAATAATGAATTTTTAATAATTCAAAAAGTCAGTTTACTGCTTCAGTTTGGGCACATGTGTAATGCTTTCTACTTAAGCCTGTTTCATCAATGAAATCCCAGTTTGGCCACTGGAACATTGAATGGAGGGCAGAATACTACTCCTAAATGTTTAATCCCATATGGCAAATGGAATTCAAGGTACAGGATTTTTGTTGTTGTTGTTTTTTAGACTGTAGGTCTTTAACATGGCACTAACAGGAAGCATGTAACTATTTGAAGGGTAATTAGCTTATTTGTTACACAGGTTACAAACATTGAGGAGAATTACATGGATTTTTAGCACTTCTCTAATGCTATTATAGGTCACTCAGGTTTTACAGTTGCACTTTTCAAAAGTAACAGGATTTTTAAAAGTTTTCTCCCCATTATGGAAAAGTACTGAGCCTACATTTTCTCTCTGTTTTCGTGTCATTTCACGTGGAACAGTTGCTGGCCCCCAAGCCAGTTTTCCCATCTGTAGAATGGGGGTAATGATGACACCCGTCTCCAGACAGTGCAAGTGAGGGGGCATGTGAGAGACTCCAGCAACATTCCCCCTTAAGATGTTAGATTAATCCCAGTGTGTCTGAGATTCAGATTCCTTTCTCGGCTTAAAGCTTTGACTTCAGGTTCCTCTCCTGCCTGTCTGGCTGCCAGAGTCGCCCTTCTGAAACCTGGTCAGATTTTGCCAGTCTCTGGCCCAGAGAGCTCTAAGACTGCCTGCCGATTGGAGAATGGAAACTGGGCCCACCAGTGTCACATTCAGGGCCCCTCTCGGCCCGGCCCCAGCTGTCTCTGAACTTCACCTGTCCTCCTCCTCACCTTTGCACACTCTGCTGCTAATCAGGGCTGCTTTTGGCCCCGGGGACAAGCCTAGCTGCTGCTTCCCTCCTTCGCGCATTGCCTTGGCTCTCACGGGAAGTCTCACTCCCATCCCTTTCCATTTTTACAAGTCTACATCTGGTTTTCTGTCCTCTCTGGAACCCTTTGGAAGCCCTGTAAAAATGGGTCCTTCATTTCTGCAATTACAACGCTCTGTGTTTACGTCAATTTTTATGTCATGTTGTGTGTGTCAAACTGGCTGTGGTGGCCATGTCATTATTGGCTCCCAACACCTTGCTCTGGAGTTTAAACATGAAAGTACTCAGGTGTTTGCTAAATAAAGTCTGTAACCCGTCTTACGTAGCAAACTATTATTATGAAGTATGTTGATCACCAACACAGAGCACCAACCACAGCATTCGAAATGCAGTTGTGCTCTGTCGAAGACAGTTAATACTCAGAATATTTCTTTTCAGTTATTTTTGGTCTCTCACATGATACCAAGTGGGATCTTTACTCAAAGTACAAACCACCACCTCCCATCTGTCTAAACTTTCCAGACCTGCAAGCCCGCATTGCCAACTGAAGTCTCTGCACCCTGTCTCTTGGATAAAGGGGACCAGAACCCAGGTTCGAAAATGTTCCTTTCTTTTGAAGTAGAACTTTGCTCCCAGAAGATTACATGCTTTTTGATTAAAAATGGTTGTTAAAAAAGATTTACTATACTCATTAAATAGCAATCTGCATTTGGAGGGCTTACTTGTTATAGATTTTATTATTTATTTTTAGAGAGAGGGGAAAGAATGGAGAGAAACATTGATTGGTTGCCCCTCGCAGGCCCCAGCTGGGGACATGGCCTGCAACCCAGGCATGTGCCCTGACTGGGAATCGAACTGGTGAGCTTTGGTTCATAGGCTGGTGATTGATCGCTGAGCCACACCAGGAAGGGCTGGGGGGCTTGTTTAAAGACCACTAGACCTGTATTTGAAAGACTCAGGTTTTTTTTTTTTTTTTTAGAAGAAAGACTGAGGTTTGTACCTCTGCTCAGCTGTCACCCCCCGTGGGAAAGTCAGTTACATCTCTTGGACTTTAGTCCCTTTATTCTGTGAAATGAGAACAGTCTTGCCTGTGCTATTTTTGCTCCGTAAAGTGGCTTATACTTCAGGTACTGCATGTCCTCCTTCAGATGTAAGGCAGTAAGATGTCTGTCTTCACAGCACTTTCGTCTTTCTTGTCACTGCGGTTGGAAGTACTTTGAGTCTCCCCTTTCTTGACCAAATTTTTGCCAGGCCTGCCCCCACGTGTCTTTCCCCTGGCCCTTGTCCTTAGAGCCCCTCTGTTCCCACCCTCTGCAGGCCCTGGCAGTGCTTCCATGGATTCTCAGGGGAGGCCTGCTGCCCGGCCTCCCTTCCTCTGGTTTCTCTGGTCCTCCTGTGTTTTGCTACCGGAAAGATTTACTGTGTAAATCAAATCGTAGCACACCCTCCCCCAGAGGTCTACAGGTCTACACCAGAGGTTCTCCGCAGTGCGCCCATCTCACCGCTGCTGAGGGGAGTGGCCTAGTTCTGGGGCAGGCTCAGTCCCCCAGGGTCTCACCTTGGAGGCCCCACCACCTGGCCCAGGTGAGAATGGATGTTGAAAGGTTGGGAGTCATGCAAGGACCTGTGCCTCTGGCCTCATCCCAGCCTCGAGCTGGATATTTTACTGCATCTCTCGTCATCTTGTGT